ATTCCCGGTGAGCTATTATAAGGAAATTGTAATTGTTAGGTGTTGAAAGGTGATTGTCAACGATGTCTTTATTTAAAGCACGACGTTTCGCTTAGCCGCATGCGTAGTCCAATAGGTAAGAATCGCGGTCGCAGAGTCAGAATGAAATCGAAGTCAAAATTCTGTTAAGTGCTAGAAATCAAACTGCTTTTATTTTATTGCTGATTAAGAAAGGCAAAGACAAGTATGTTTTGAAACAAGCAGTCAAGAATGGCGTAGATCTGTATATTACTTACGATGAACTTTAGGTCGGCCAAAATAATTCTTATTATACAATATGTATCTATCTACATTGAATGAATCTGAGTTTATGGAACGAGTTTTCTTATCTAAAAGGGAGACAAAAAAATCATACAGTACGTTTGAAGAAGTTTCTGGTTTGTTTCACATACATTATTAAAAACTTCAATTGGATGGTGGTTCTGCACCCCAGCCCAAGACAAGTAATAAATCGTTACCACTACCTAAAGGCATAATCTCTACACCTGGAATGAGCTGTAGAACAAAAATATTGGACACCTTTCTTATCAAGAGCACCATCATATATATGTTTACCTTTACATTTAAGCTTTATTCCTTTTATTACCTTTAACTTTCAAATTAATTCATAAGTTTTTTCTTGAAAAGATTCGAAAATTGTATCCAAATGCTGGATATACGTTTTTTATAATCTTAATTTTTCTCAAGGCGAATATGCTCTCCATTATATTCAAGGCAAAAATATGCAAAAGATTTGTGCAGCTGCTTTGCGCTGTGGCACATGTTTTTCTTGCCGTGAGCGATAATAACTTAGATCAACGTATTGAAGTATTTTCTAACTGCTGGGTACATAGCAGCTGACACATCAAAACTGAAATTTCGTAAAAGAAATAGATAAATATGATTTAACTGTATTCTGAGACGTATCCCTGGACAATCAACCAACATTTCATAATAGCATTAGTAACGACAGGAATAAAAGATTAGTGGCAGCATGGGTAGCATAGACAAGGTTTAGCATTTCTTTGTCGCTTATGTTTAGAAATGCATAAGATGGTTGTTCACATATACGGGGATCAAGGACAGCGCCTTTGTCTTGTGGAGAAGATAAACGGCTACTTGCCATTTACGGTAATATGTTAAGAGTTGAGATTTTGTGTGTGGAATATTAAAAGTTCTGTTGTGATTCGGATTTTGAAGATTACACCATCCGCTACCTAAAGTAACGAATGGTAGCCACATCTGGGCTGGTTGCGCAATGATTATTCTATTGGTACAAAAAGGCGTTTTGAAATTTTGGACTTTTGTTATCACATCTTAAGAGTGCACCGTGCTGATGGCAGAGATGAAGATGTCAAATGGATTGTAAATGTTAGTCTTTTAACAGCTACTTAATTTTCCATACTTACTGAATTATTTATAACTAATGTTTATTAAAATTGTGCAGAAACTTAAATCTATGGTAGATGTATGAGACGCTTTCAAGTATTGAAATCGCAGGTTTTCGCTATACGGAACAAATATTTGAAAGATAGTGACTTTGAAGGATCCAACGTGGAGCGTGCTTTTCACCGCCGCAACATTATTATTGAAAAAACGAATTGTAATACGTTGTTTTTTATATTTTGATATTATTTGATATTTATAATAAAAATAATTTGTAAAACAAATACAGTCTATGGAATCTTAAATATTCGAAATTATTCGATTTCTCTTTGATACATGCAACAAAGGCACCTTAGATATTATTCATTTACTGATTATTCTACAAATAAGGGACAATTTTTTAGGAAATTGTTGGTCAACTTTGTTTAAATTATAAATCATACGCATTGAAATCTATTTATGAAAAGTCAGGCTAGATTTTTTGAGGTTAAAAAAGCGCTACCGTCTTAATTTATAAGTCGAGTTTTTCTACAAGGACCCCAAAGAAAAAAGAAAAGGTTTGTTGCTCTTTCTAAAACATTCAATCAGGTTAGCGCCTTTCTTGCTTGATTCTTGAACTTCTGACATATAAAAGTGTAACGCATCTATCAAAAGTCTACAATCCTTAGGAATACACATCACAGTATTTAAAATTCACACTTCTACCACGCACGTGGAGAGAAGCCACGATTTAGCTAGACCGCTCTATTCCTCAAAATATTCTCAGGAAGACTAAACGCAGTCGTGAATTTTTTCCCCTTTTACAAACGCGCCAGTTCATGTTCAGAAATACGCTAAGTCGTAGTAACAACTTGCTGACGATTATCAGTAAAATTTGCATAGAAAGTTTTTCGTTATTTGATTTGTCTACGAGACTCTGCCAAAGCATAAACGAATGTATTTTAGATCTAAATTGTCATCATATATATTGTAGATACCGTACATATATATTACTATAAAAAGGCGGAGAAAATTTGGCTTGTGTGCCCAAATTTTTAATATCAAAATATGTCTTTTAATACTCAATGTACTTTGTTTGCTTTATCTTATTATTCCTTTTTTTTCTACTTATTCTTTTTTTACAGAGCGCTTTAACCCTTTCGCTGAATGTGTTATTTGAAAATTCTCTTCTATGCGTTATGTCGGAAGGATTTTCTTTAACAGTCTGTAAGTCTTTTAAGAGGTCGTAAATGTCGAAAACATACGCGTTGTATGGGTCTTCGTTCTTGATTAACGTCAGAGCCGATTTGCTGTCGGAGATGCATGCAAATTTTTTCAGTTTATTCTCAATTGCAAGGAGGATTGGCTGTCTGATGACCAGAAGTTCAATGAAAGTGAATTAAAGTTCTTGCAGAACTTTTAATTTTCCTAAGAGTAAGTTTGGATATTCTATAATTGAGAAACTGGATATATCCGAATTGATTCTGCAGATGTTTTTATTTCTCATCTGTATACCACCGCTGCAATTTGTATATTGTTAAAGCTTTTTTTTAAGTGAGCTTTTGTAGTCAATAAGCTAAATAGTAGGAGCTTGCACATATTTCGACCAATGACATCTATTGATGAAAATGATTTAGCAATGTACACAACGGTTAATATCGATGATTTTACCTTTCTCTACATAAAAAATTCAGTATCGTTGAGTTATTCAGTGTATATAGACGTCAATCATGGAACGTTCAAAATTTGATTTTCGAAATTCATTTCTTTCATTGTAACTAGAGTAAGTTAGGCTAAGGGAGTTAGAATTACAGTAAAGAGAAATTAAGCAAAGAGAAGTTAAGTAAGGAGAAATTAGAATAGTTAACTTAAGCCGAGGTTAAATCAGGTTTGTAAACAAGGAAAAGTAAGTGAGAGGGATGAGCGAAGGAATACAACGTGGTGCCTTTAGATTACGAAAAATGAACTTATCTTGGATATAGAAGAGAAAATTGTAAATGTGAAAGTAGAAATCCTTCAGTATAATTTTCTAAAAAAAGAAAAATTGTGAAGGCCAAGAAGAAACACCTAGAATACATTTTACAAGGCAAACAATATTTTAAAGAAAAATAAAAATCTTATGTGAATTCAACTTGAGAAAAACCCATTCAATCCGTGTAAATAAGTTATAGCAAAAAATAAAGCAATATCTTGTGAGCAAAAACCCTGGAACCGCTGAGCTACCCCAGCACCAGGTTTTGGGCCGAAATATCTCTCACAGTATATAGCTTCAAGGTCAACCAATACCATTTTGTTTACACTTGTGAAGCAACACCATTAGGTTCCTCTCTAAGCGAGGCAATATCATTTTTTTCTTCGTTTAAATAAATAAACCGGAATTTTGTTTATGTATTCGCCCGTTTAGTTCAAACAAGTTAAGCTTCTGCTTTAATTTTTTTTTGGACTTAGTCAGAGGGGAAGCCTTTTGGCATAACATAGAAACGAGTGATATTAACGGTTTTATCAATTAATTTCCTTTCGCTTAAAATTTTAAATCATTTGAGTTTCTCGATTGACATGTAAGTAGTGTGTTTGTAAACTGTGTAAATTAAAAAATGTTCTTAAAGGTAAACGCCATTAGATTTTGTCAAACGTTGTGCAAAAGCGCCGCTGCATTTGGAGTGATTCTGCAAGTTTATGATACAATTGAATATCTTTATTTTGTTTTACAAAACTAAATTAGTATTTCCATATAAAATGTATACATACACACATAACAAAAAATTCGACTTCTCTTTTACCTGTTTCGATTTTTGTTTTTACTAAAAAGATTTCTTAATCAAGTGTCACCTCTTGTTTTACAGAAATAAAAGAACTTACAGGTAGAGTGTTCACTGAGAAATTTTCGCAGAGCTATACAGAAATGCAATAGAAAATAAAAAAAGATACAGGTAATGAAAAGAACAGTGACGATGGGAAAGCAAATAAAATGTGAAATTAAATTTTAACAAGAAAGAAATAAATGAATATATGAAATGCGAGTGTGATTAAAAGGCATTATAGAAACAATAAATTAACGACAAAATTATTGTCACATGGCCGGCCATATATTTTTTTTCCATTTTTTAATAATTTGTGTGTTTCTATTTCTCTATTCAAAGATTTTCCGTGAATTCATGAAGGGCTCTTTATGTGTTGATCTCTTAGAATTTATGTATAAGTAAAGTATTTGTATTATATGAGTGTGTGCACAAGGTGTATAAATCTCAACTTTAACAGTAAAGAACATACTTTTTTTAATGATGCGATGATAACATTCGTCTTATTTTTGTGGCAGATTTTTTCTTCATGAAAATTAAAAATAAGTTAATAAAAAAGAAAACAAAAAACTTTAAAACGTATACACATATAACAAACGTAAAAATTCTAATAATTACAGTTGATTTAATAATTCTCTATGAAATAATTAAACAATATATAATAGTAAAGAATTGTTATGAATTTGGTTTAGAATTGGTTGTAGTGCTTTTTTTGACAATTTACATTTAAAACATTTAACCTTTAACGGAAAATCAACGAAAATATGTTTAATGTTATTTGATTTGCTGTCTTTTTGTTTCCTATTGTTTACTTTTTCCATGAACATTGTACAGTAAATAATTTAAATTTTGTTTTTGCTTTATTCCCCTAACATTAATTAAGTATTCACGATGCATTGGCATTCATAGGTTGCGGACCACGTGGTCGTATCATCATAATGGCTTTTTTTAGAGTATAATCCCATCCACGCCAACGGAACCAAACAATACCTTGACGTGCCGTCAAATCCTGGGGATCGTGCAAATATAAGCCATTCAATCCCCGACCGCAAGATTTCCACCACCAGCCGCCCTATAGGTTTAGATAAGATTAGCAATATTTTTACTTCAATCACATAGGGAGAGGAGACTGTTAAAAAATTTTATCTTTAAAGACACACACGCCTTGTATGGCATATAGAAAACAAAATAATCTGAGATCATGTGTCCAGTCTCGACTGTCTATATTCTTCTCACTTTAAAGAGATTATAGGCAGTTCTTCTCTAATACTATTATAATCTTTCCTAAAGCAGCTTGAATTGAATTTTCTTATCATACTTGTTGTGCGGGACAAAAGAAAATTAAAACACAATGCGCTATTGTAATGATAATAATAATTTTGTAATAAACATTTCTCACCTTAAGCATACTAGCGCAGTTCAGTGATGAACGGTCATTGTCACGATTGTACGTAGAGAATGGACTATTGTTCGAACCATACCACGGGTCATTTAGAGAATCGCCAGCATTACCTTCATAGCCGTCAATTTCTAATTTGTAATAATCAGCTTCCGAGTGTATTTTAAAATGTGAGTATTGAGCATATCTGCATAATTTAAAATAGATTCACAAATAAAGAAACTTTTTGTAGTTAATTTGGAAATCTAATAAAATTTACCGTTTATTGCCTTCAAAGTCTTCTAATTCAACTCTCAGTACATAATCTTCATTATTTGTGAGCATATAAATGTTTTCATTACCCAACCAAAACTCTTTGGCGGGATCGCCAAACCCGTTTTTGTAATCAGCCCAATCACGATTGAAGTTTTCGCGTGGTTCACCGTAGTCATCACGTCTTTGTATAACCTGTTTTTTAATGGTTTAATAATAATTACACAAAATTTAAATCTAATCTTTTAAATCTTACTGTCCAACCGCCTTCAGCTATTTCCTGTTCACAAAAGACTTTTAAAAACCAATACGTGGTACCACGAATTTGCAGATAAAAGACGCCAGATTGTTTCATGCCAGCGTTTAACAAATCAACGCATGAGAAACCCTGAAAGAATGTTGTAAATGAAAATGCCTGTTAACATGTTTTTTGGGTGTATTTTGCTTTCTAAATACATGCAGTCGAAAGGATTAACTTTTTACCACCTTTATTTACTTAAGACGTTTTTGGTTTTTAATGGAAAATGTTGTTTTTTCTTATACTTAAATATTTTAATCTGTTTTGTTTTTCAATTCTTCTATATGCTTTCGATTGATTTGTATTGTAATTCAGTTTCAAGTAGCTAGTAAGTTTATCAACCTTATTATATGTGTAAATTGCGTTCACATATTAATCACTTTAGAATTTGTATTGGATTATAGCAATTTCGGTTGTTATATTTAAAATAATTCCTTTGCTTTTATTTTATTGCTCAATGTGCACTTAGCCAATTTTTTTTTTTTTTTGCTAAAAGCTGCAGAGGGCATATTCGGTTTGTGTCTTACAAAATTTTTTAGGAAGTGCAATAATGCAATACGCAGTGAAATAAAATTAAAAATTGTCCTTTTTGAACAATTGCCACACTTTGTGATGTACTACGAAACTTAAAACTAAGTTTGAACATTAATTTGGGAAATCAACGTTTGGCATCTCGAAACCATTTAGAAGCACTTATATCGTATAACAGTAATACTCTTAGACATTTTATATCGTAACTGCGGGAACTTTGTTTACGAAACTTAAGAGAAAACGAGATCGAACAAAAAAAATATTGGAGGAATTCTTATCAGTAAAACAGTCCGGCGTTTAAATTCTTAAAAAGTAAAATAAAACTTTCTATAAAAACTGCAAAATATGTTACAAATTTTATTATTCGTGTTTTATATATGGGGTATACATCTCAGGTTTGCCGAAGCCGAAATAAAACTAGTAGATGCTGAAAAGTGCTTGGTATGGGGTGCAGGTATAAAACCGGACGTTTCTGTTCTCCCTGCCCGCTACTTTTTCATAATGGCAATAGATAAAAATGGGCAAAGGTATGTATCTTAAAAATAACATGAAAATGTTAATAATAGTATGTCTTTAATTAGATATCTGGAATCTGCTCCTTTAAATTTCCAAGTGAAAATTAAGGGCAATTCACCTCATGGTCGATGCCGTTCACACGTTGATGTTATTGATCGTGGTGACGGTACTAACATTGTACGCTACACTACGGCGGATTGGTGCGATCAAGTAGAAATCGAGATTCGTTACAACGGCACTCAAGTAGCTCAATCCCCGTATTATGTGCGTAATAAAGTTTATTCCGAGAAATGTTACTGTCCTCAGGACCTACAACTATTTATGTTACACAACAATTGCCCAAATGCTGCAGCGGATAAACAAATCATGTGGGATTTGCATTCGTTTAAACGTGTTAATTTTAGTGCCATTCGCGAAAATCTCATGAAACGTTATAATCAACCGGAGAGTGTTTCATTATGTCATTATGTAGTAAAACAGCAACAAATTTGGCGCCAATGTTATGGTAAATATACTGGCTTTAAAATGTTCATGGATTCTACATTATTAGCATTGAGCCGTGTAGCGTTATTGCCTGACATGGAGTTTTATTTAAATTTGGGTGATTGGCCATTGTCAAAGAAAGGAGGTCAACAACGTACCTCAGGACCATATCCAATTTTTTCATGGTGCGGCAGTGAGGATTCATATGATATAACACTGCCTACCTATGATTTGACTGAATCTAGTGTAGAGAACATGGGTCGTGTTGCATTAGATATGCTCTCGGTGCAACGTAATGAGCACCCTTGGGAGTTGAAAGAAGATAAAGCGTTCTGGCGCGGTAGAGACTCAAGGCGAGAGCGTTTAGATTTAATTGATCTGTCGAGAAAATATCCAGAATTAATAAACGCTTCAATTACAAACTTTTTCTTTTTTCGGGATGAAGAACAAAAATATGGCCCGACGGTTCCATACGTGAGCTTCATGGAATTCTTTAAGGTAATTCACTTATTTCAAAAAATGTTAAATATTTTTTCAAAAATATTTTTCTGAATAATTTTATAATCTGAACTATTTATGTGAAGCTAAGAAAAATTAAAATCTTAAACAAATCAAAAAAAAAAGAATTAAAAGCCGTAATTTGCAAAACAAATAAAATCTTTGATCAGTTATTATTGCATTTATCACATCTTTCACAAATTTTTATATCCTAATTGATGATTTGTAGCTGTTTGTCAACTGGTTTTCAAATAAGATGTATTGATTAATATGAATACTAAAATTCGTTTTGTCATGCTGTTTTCCTGAGGAAAAATATTAAATATAAAAAAATTGTAAGAAATAGCAAGCGTAGTAAAAATCTATCAAAATACAATTATATTTGTGCTCGATACTTTTAATAGAAAATTTGTTTCTTTTATATAATTAGTTTATACAAAATAGTTTTCTTTACTTTTAGTATAAATATCAATTGAATATTGATGGCACGGTAGCTTCTTACCGTTTTCCATACTTATTGGCCGGCGATTCTTTGGTTTTTAAACAGGACTCACCCTATTACGAACATTTTTATAGTAAACTTCAACCGTATAAACATTATGTGCCCTTTAAACGAAATCTTAGTGATCTAATTGAGAAGGTACAATGGGCCAGAGAACACGAGAAGAAAGTTCGGGAAATAATACATAATGCTCGAGAATTTGTCGAGGCCAATCTATTACCGCAGCATATTTATTGCTATCATTTAGCGCTGTTTAAGGTAAGTTTCTGCCACACCTGCAAGCACGTATTTAATTCAGTTAATTCATCCGCAGGAATGGAGCAATCGTCTAGTGGCACCAGTTGTGGTCATGCCCGGCATGGAAAAAGTGCAAACATCTTATACCTGTTTTTGCAAAGAGCCTCAGATTAAAGATGAACTTTAAATAGCTGTGCAATTTTTGTGGCTGTTATAATTGCATTATGAATTAATTAATGGTTTTAGCTTATAACAAAAACGCTTTTCGTGGTAACCAAAAGAACTATATATCTTTATTCCTGATTGAATGACAAATTTTTATATAGTGGTGGTTAAACGAAAATTTTAAATAAAGTTTAATAAGTTGAATGGAACATATCATTTTTATTTAAATCGCCTAATTCTTATTTTTTAGTGGTTAAGCCGATATTTATAATTTTCTTAATAAAATTTCTTCTCCAAACAAGCGTTGAATATCGCATTGCCAGAATATTTGTTAAGTAGTTCCTGGTAATCTTATATTTCCTTTCATTCTTACAAATTTTCTCGTTAATTTCATATTCCATTTATACTTTCCCAAACTGTATGGTACCAACGGGGAAGAGCACTTAACGTTTGATCGAGTATCTGTTTTTATAACGATAATTTTGTTTTATTTTCGCTTTGAACATGAAGCTCGTCGAGGTTCTTACTCCCGATCTAGAATGCGCCATTTTACGTTCCATATCGAGGAAACGCTCATACGCTATCAAGCACCATTGATTCCTCACTTGCTAAGAGGTGCTCGATGACGAGAACCTTTAACCCACACTTGAAAGTTGCTATGGACCTAGCGCGATAACGAGAACAGCAGATCGACACCAGTTCAGGCCGTTTGATGATATCATTTTTATTAAAAGATACCAATAAAATTGACACAGTTGACAATAATCCTAATTTCCATAAGATTGTGCTTTAATTTTTTTAAAAAAATTCTTTTTTGGACGTGTTTCTAATAAAATTTGCCTACTTTATAAGTTCAATTGTCAAACGATTGTTTTTATATCTTAATTCTTCCTGTAGAACTTTTGTTTGAATACAAAAATAAAAGAAATTAGCAAACTGATAATATGTGAAATGAAATTAAATAATGTAGCTTTTTAAATCATATAATTCGAGTGACCATAAATATGTAACGGTATTTATGTGATAATAATAGAATGAAACTAAATCATCTAATGATAATATAATTGATTTAAATGAAGTTAAATAGCTCCATAGTTATGACAATTGGTTTGTGGACTGAACTGACACTTCCGTTCTTTTAGGTGTTGCAAGCATTAAAACTATTTATGCTGTCATCTCGAACTAAAACAAAAAAAATTTAGTAGTAGCAATTCTTATTGATCTGATAAAGCTATATTGATGTTTCGGAAGATAAGTAACAACAAAGGCATGTTCAAGTATTGAGAATTGTAAACAAATGTGGATGCTTATTCTCAGATGTTTGGGAGTTTTAAAAAATTGAGAATCTATTGAGAATCATAGACGCTTACTTTCAGTTGGCGGCAAATTTTTATACGCTTATTCTCAGATGTAGGCAATTTTTATACAAATACTTGAACAATTATTAAAAATTGTAAACAAATATGGACGCTTATTCTCACATGTTTGGAATTATTGAGAATCATAGACGCTTATTTTCAGTTGGCGGCAAATTTTTATACGCTTATTCTTAGATGTATTGTTATTATATATTCGGGATCACTTTCTAAATCGATTTAAGCTGGACTATCCGTCTGTCCGCATTGTTTCTAACTACAGGTTGCAATTTTTGAGATGCTTTTATGAGATTTGGTACACTGACTTGTTTTGTTTCAAGAACGAAGCCTATTGAAAATGATTCGAATCGGACAACTTTTTCGATCACTTCACACATAACGCCTTATTTTGGACGGTCGTTATACAAATACTTATATACTTGTACTTCGCGAAGTGGGGCACGTTATTCAACGGCAGGCTGTGGCCCATTATAGTGCTCTTGCTTGTTCCTCAGCAAAAAAACAACGTTTGATAAACAATCGAATTTCACATTTTTGCATTGTTCTGGAAATTACAAAGGTAAGTAAATATTTGTAACTTGTAGCTGTCGAAATGACGTGAAATTTTCACTCCTATTCTTTGAAGGTTGGTATTATCCAGAAATCATATGGGTTTTTCTACACTCCACGCCCTCTGCCGTAGTTAATTGAATTATTTTTGAGAATGGCTGTTCTGCCAAGTAATTTCTGCGTTTACTTAATAGTGAAAAAAATCGAATCATTTTATAAACGTTGAGCAATATTTCAAATGCTTTCTTAGTTTTCTTTCTTTTTTTTACAAGAGATAACAAAATGCTGCCTATGGAGTAACGATACGAGGGTAAGCTGTGAAAAAAAGGCGGCAGGACAGTTTGCACAAGAATATGGCTTTTTTTGTTGTTAAGACGACTCAACGACAGTGCTTCTATTAATTTCAACTTTTTTTAAAAAATCCCAAACTAAACTTACACTTAACGGGCTATATTCGTAAAATAACGAAAACAAGATATATCTTCGCCGACAATCAGAAAGAAATTGCTATATAGACAAAGAAATTGCGCAAAACAAACTGGAGCAACAACCTTCTGCCTGATGACTTTACTCTAGTAATTTAAATTTACAACACCAAGGGGAACACAAATAACAAGGTCTGTTGCTATTGTGTTTCTTGATGCCGAGTATTTTGCTGGTACTATCGGTAACCAATGTACCGCCCTATTTTTCATTATTGCTAGCAGACCAGTTGACGGAACTTAAAGGTGGTTCAGGCTAAGAAACCATTGGTTAAAATGCTTGACGATAAAATTCATTTTGTATGAAAATATTGTTTTCAAAGCAAATAGTAAATTCGGTCAATCGTATTCTTTTAATCGCTTTATTTTCGATTGCGAATATGAGAGGAAGACCATATTTCAAGTCAATTAAGCTTTCATTCATCATTATCGTTATCAAATACGTATTCAGTTTCCATATATATGGTGGGCCATACATACAGGTAAAAACGTACATTTACACCTCCCAAGCGGCATCTTCTTTCCGATCATTCAGAAGGATACAAGGCATCCAAAATATCAATGAAGGGATGCGGTTTTGGAGGGATCAAGTAAGTAGAAATGCTATTATGTCCTGCTGTTCATTTGCGTCCACTTCAATTGGGCTGAGTGGCAAAGGTACTTCAACGCTATTATTGTGCTTCTGTTTTTTATGCAGCCATCGCCCATACTTGTTTTTTTCCATTTCAAAATGCTTCAACATAAATTCTTGCTTCAAATTCCTTTTTTGCTTGTGCTTGCAAGCAATTACATTATCGTCAACATAGACGGCGACTAAAACTATATTCTCGTTCCGCTTCAACTTGCGCAAACAAAGTTTATTTAGATGTAGTGCGAAGGTTAATTTCTTGAGATCGCCATCATGTTAATAATTTCGCCGTTTGTCTGCTTGTTTTAATCAATAAATCTGAAAACGTTCTTCAAATTACATTTTTTTACCATTTTAAATAATTTACTATTTTTTCTTGGGAAAACAGCTGATTATGGCATTGCGCAACCAAATGGCTGCGTTTACATATTGAAAATAAACTTAGGCGCAACCTTATAAATTGAAAATGAACTTAGGCGCAACCTTATAAATTGAAAATAAACATAGGCGCAACTGTTCACCTACCTTTATATCTTTTAGTGTGATGATATCCGTCGAGAAAGTCGTGTTCACTACTGATGGTTTATTCTTCACACTGGGAAAGATTACGCCACCTTTGCGTGAAATTGGTTTGGTAGGACTGGTAGATGACGATGATTGCGATACCGAATTGACCGGTGATGATGAAGTCATCGTGGCAGTTTGCGAAGTGGAAGAAGAGGAGGAGGGGGATGAAATGCTATTGTTTGTTGTGGCGATAGTAGCAGTAGATGAAGTATTTTGATTAGTATCAATACCGGCAGCTGTAGTCGAATGTTTTTGATTATGGATATAGGGAGTTGTGATATTGTTGTTTGTACCATTAAAGGCGGACGAAGAAGAGGAGGAAGAGGAAGATAGTGATGTGGATGAAGAATAAGTTGCCAACACAATGGTTGTTGGAGTTGTGTTCACTGTTAGTGTGGATGGAATAAAAGAAGCAAAAATAGAAGAAGAAGAGGGTGTAGGTGTTGCTGCTAACGAAGCAGTTGAGGGTGTAGTCTGAGCTGTGGTTAAAGTGCTTGTTCTACTCGTTTCTGTGTAGTCATCAATAACGGAGTATCTAGATTGATATATGAATAAGGAAAAGTAGTTTTTGTAATAGTTGCTTGTTTTATTGTTTGTTCGTAGAAGGATTTGAGGCTAAATAGCAGGAAAAGAGGTGTTTTTCGGCAATTTTTTATAAGGGGGAGATATTTTTTGTATACGCTAGGCAAATTTTTTCTTCCTCGTCGTGGTACTTATTATGCAATAAAAAACTACTATTGCAATGAAAGCGAATCTTTTTTTAAAAACTGATTAATTGTTTCAAAGATGCTCAACTTTATTGATCTTCTCCTCATTTCTATATATCACACCAAGTATTCACGATTGCACATAACGGTTCGTAGGATTTTGATTGATAGTTTGTTCCAAAAACTCTGTCATCGTTTACCATGTAATAACTATATTTCATGATGCCCCTGTAAGCATCTTGAATGTAGTCGACAAGTATAATATCAATAAGGTTTAGGTTCATTCATTTTTGACATTGATGGGCAAAGAATGCCTAACGAAAATTTATATTCACATCTAATTAAAAGTGATGAAAGTGTAAATTGCTTAGTTCTCATGCTTGTCACTCATATAGCACGACTTAGCGATCATATTCGCATGATCATGTCCGCGAGTGCTAAGTCAGCGTTCGCGGTTCCAAATATCAAGTTTACTTTGGTCTCTCTCTTTCTTCACCTCTGTCTGACAGTCACTTGAGCTATTTTTCGTATTAAAAAAAGGAAGCTGCGAAGTTAAGGGATCATTGGTTTTAATAATGAGAACATTACTAATTGATTCCAAATATCCCAAGTAGGAAAGAAAGGAAGGATGTACAAATATATGAGATTTTAGTTTTCAGTATCTCAATATTCAACGGGATGGCTAATATTTCTAGTCTGTAAAAGCAGTTGAGATGCATTAGTAGAGGTTTTTTTTTAGATGATCAATCACATAGGGGTGTCTCATATTATGTGATGGCCAGAAAGAAGAAGTGAATGCGGTGAAAGTTATACGGAAGTGATCACACGTAGTGGATGTGTACCCAATCGGTAAGTGTTACGTCTTCGTCTACTGAACACTGTAAACCAAAGTAAACTCTTCCTCACTGAGGTTTTAATCCACGAATACCGACTTGTTCGTTTGTTTGTTTACGCATAATTGCACCGAACGCAAAAATCAAGCTTATTTAACATGCCGAAGTAGTTATAACAACGAGCATGAAACCTCTTAGTAACAAATGTACCTATCTATTAACTAAGCAAAATTCAACCCGCGGGTACTTTTAAAATAAATATTCCCTTCATTTTTCGATTTTAGCAATATGTTTGGGAATGTCTAAGTACCACCAAATTTTGAGATTATATTCAATTTCATGCATATTTTATTGCAGCTCATAACGAAATATTCTTTTGTAAAGATATGAAAAAATTCTAGGGAAAATCTTCTGCAAAACAGCTGTATAATTTACAGAAATTTGTATAATGTATAGAAATAATGCTTTGTGGTTGAGTTCGAAAATAAATCAAACCCTTTCTTTACAGACGACATTATGTTGTACTTCATAAACAACATTATTTAGGGATCAGTTTAGAAGGAATTAAAACTCAGTTAAGAAGGAATTAAAATTCAGTTTAGAAGGAATTAAAACTGAAATTTCCACCAACAAATCTACATATGATGCTAGTTATTCTTATTTGTGCCGACTGATTATAACTGCGTCAGCAGTTAAAAACCTTCGTAAGTTGAGAGCCTTGTTTGATAATGAAGATCCAACCGTGATCAATAATTTAAAAGAAGTAAATAAATTGTAATAAATTAAGTACGACTTGGTAAACATCTTGTTATCGGTACAAGCTTCAGTTCTCGTTCAATTTAAAGCACTTGCATTATATGCAACAAAAATTTGCAAAAATTTGTGTCGACAATATCTCTTGGAACTTATTCAAGAAATTATATATTTGATTTTCAGACAAATCATTCAAAGGACAGACGTGATTGCTAAGGACCAATGTATGCACAGCATTTATAATTAGTTACTTGAATTGGTATTCGAAAAATATTTAAATTTTACATATATATGAACTTATGTATGCTTTTGAAATATGATTAAGAATTGCACTGTTAAGAGAGTGGAGAAAACAAGCAAATATTAAAACTCTGTTATGAGTTTCGGAACAAAAAATTAAAAAAGACGAATTAACCTTTGAAAAACCGTTGTAAAAACGATTATAATATTCTACCGACCTTAAAAAGCATTGCCGATATGTGTTTTTTCAGGTATTTTAAGAAAATGTTTGTGTTAATTTGTGTGCGGTTAGAAATTTAATTTTTTTTGATGTACAAACCTATTGGGATCATATTCTACCAAACGGTCAATCGTAGGATCCATTAATAGTTCAGCTGGTACTGGACGTTGCGCTAACAATTGTACATCATCTTCTTGTTTTTTTAACCTCCGTTCGACGATATCCAAATTATTAATGATTAAATTAGTTTTTGTCTTTAAGTCTTGATGTATTTCTCCAATAGCTCTCTCCTGTCTTTGTGTGCGAGAAAGTAAAGCATCTGACTTCGGTAACAGATGATCTACTGATGACTTGGTACCCACTACTACATCCCACACCTCGTCCATTTTTTCCGACACTGACACCATGGGACGAATTTGCTTTACAAGAGCATCAATTTTGCTGGATTTAATTAAAGGCAGTACAGTAGTGGTCACATTTAAAGCGTTCAACTGTTCATGATGATCAACAACAGCGTCATGAATATCGCCTACCATGCGCAACATACGCCCAACATTTTCCGAGACTATATTAATATGAAATTGCAATTTCTTGTCTATGTTACCGGTAGTGTCACGCAATTCATTCAGTTCATTGGAAACGTGGGACATGACTTCAGCGTTCATAGCTTTCGTTATTTCAATAACATTCATAGTGATTTGTTTCTTTTCACTGGCCTCGGCATTTATTTCATCTACTTGCAAGAAATTATTATCGATTTGATTTTTCAATATTTCTAATTTTGAATCGATATCGGTGACTTTTTGATCTAGCAGTACTAACCGGTTGTCGAGCTGTATGCTAGTTGTCGATGTTGCGGATGGAGGGACAGGTGATGACCGAGCTGAATTGACGTGACCGCTAGCGTCACTTAGACCCCTATTCCCCAATTGCTGGGATTCAACAATGTCATTCGATAACTTAGTGTCGAGAGAACGTAGTTTTGATATAACGGCATCGGTTTTAATTAGGTTGTCGGAAACGCGATTGTCCAACATTTCCATACGGCGCATCATATGTTCGACAGATTTGTCCAGGTTATCAATACGTTTCAGCTTACCTTCCAGTGTATTTATAATCACCTCAAATATATTCAGAAGCTGCTGTTCTCTGTGAAAAAATCGGGAAAACATTCTCAGATAAGTTATGAAAGTAGCGATAATAAGTTTGTATTATTTATAACTTATAATATATTTTTTAATTTTCATCATATATATTAGGTACTTGATTTAATTTCAGTCAACGAATTCCATAAATAAAAATGATAACGAAAGCGTTTTGCATGTAGCGATTAAATTGAATGATTTTGACATTCGTTTTAGGGTGCAAAGTAATATTTAAATATAGCTGGCAAAGACACAAACCAAAAAATTTGTACAGAGCCCTTCTGAACCGTTAAATGAATTCTGTTAAATGAAGTTGTAGAAGAGATTTTACGCCGTACTAGTTTCAACTTTTCCACGCTTTGTCAGCCTCATTTACGACATAATGTAAAAATTTTTCTTTTCAAATATCAATTAATTTATAATATTTTTAAAAAAAAATTTCGAAAAGTTATATTTTAACTGTAATTTGCCTTAAATCCCTCCGAGACTTCGTCAACAGAATTCTGTTAACGGCTTACCGGAGCTCTGTAAATTTGTTGGTTTGTCTTTTTGCTAGTTATATTTAAATATATCTTCGCATCCTTCATTTCTCTAGGTAAAATAACAGTTCTCTGTTTAATGTCATTAATTTATTGCATTTTCGACTTTCATCACTTTTGTTCTTTATTTACGGAAATCTGCTGCCGACGCCCACCAAATACGTTCAAAAGCTTATGGTAGTGTTGCTTTCTCATATCGCAATTCTCGGTGTTGGTTTCAATGATTTAAAAGTGGGAACACGAATTGACTGAAAATGCCATTTTTTGCCCGCTTGTTGCAAGAGTTCTCAAGGATGCACTGTTGCAGCTGCAATAGGAAATTCTGCCGCACCCAGTGCATCCACCAGACATGGTGTAACGCAGTGTCAATATGTTCTCCCCTGTCCATCTGAAAAAAAAATGATACTTATTTTGTAGGCCACTCTTCAGTGCCACACAGAGAGGATTGAAGACTATAGAGTGTTCTACATGTCTTAGCTGAACTAGGTAGTTCGAGGACAATGGGGGGATGAGGGAGGTTGGGGCTTCCCGTGAGCCTTAGACAATTTTTCACCCTGCCGTGCCTATAGTCCCCTTCGGCCCACGATGTCTATGCGAGAAACCGAAGTCGGGTCTGTGGGCACCTAAGCAGCCTTCGTCTCATAATTAAAATTCTTTTTATTTCATTTTTATTTAGTTCCTAATAAATTATACTTCAATTTGCTTTGAAAAACTTTCTTATAATGTCAATGCATTAATTTTAATGTTTGAGTATTAACAATAATTTTATTTCTTATTTAACAAATTTTCTTCTTTTTATTAGATATCTGTTATAGTTGTATTAGTTCACACTTGAATGTTTTTAACATTAATCTGAGTGTAGATTTTAGACTTTGCTTATTTTGTACAATGCTTCGATTGTTTCTTTTTATAACTTTGTAACTTAATAACATTGTTTTTTTTTCTTTCTTTACGTTTATTGTCAGTTGTTGGTTTGTACTTTTAATTCGCTGGAAAAGAAATCCTCTAAACAAACCAGCCTATAATTTTCCAGTAAATTGAACATAGTATTTAGTACATAAACACGCGATTCGTTATTTGCATACAAATCGTAGACTTGTAAATGGTTCTTTTTTTTTTTTTAGATATTCAAAGCCGTGAACGCGCACCAATATATTTCCATAAACATGAAGAATGAATTGTCATAAACCGGATGTAGAAAATAAGTCGTCGTATTCATATTGCATTATTTCCTTGCGAAAACCCTTCGAAACTAAATGTTCCTTAACCAAATCAAAACTTGTTAATTCGTATTAAGGTGACCTGTATTCAGCCAACGTGCAACACATATCAGACCCATAGTATTTTCCAAATGCAAAGAACAGTTAACAAAAGCTTTATGTTTTTTCTTTGCCTAATAAAAGTATAAATGTTTTAATTTGACGATCATGACGAGGTGAAATTAAAAAAGAACAAAAACCCCTTTATCCTTTTTAGAAAATTCCGTAAACTGAATTTACTGTTGACCTTACTAAATAGTTTATAATATTTTTCCATTTGAAATTTTTTGAAATAACGACTTTTTTTTTTTGAATGAAATGTACATGTATACTTCATAATAAAGGAAAATGCAAAGAGCCACACGTACGAAACATTTACTGGAATTATTTAGTACGCATTAAATTGCAATATGCTTCAATTCCTTCGAGTCGTTTAATATCAGTATATTTTTCCTTTTTTTCATTTAGTATATATATTTATTTTAATATTATATCAGTGAATTTTTTCTGTCATTCAAGAAAATTACAAATATCTGACCAAACTCTTCTTTTCTCTCTTCCTCTCCTTGCAACAAATCAGAATGCCGGAAACAGCTGTTGCTAGAATAATGTTTGCTACAACAGCGTCTTCTGAAGTCCGCTTGTTCAGATCGATGCAGTATTTTTTGGCTGGCACGGTTGAAGGTGTGCGAAAAGGGATAGATTATTAGATGGCTGCCAATACAGTTCATTCGACACGGTATCGAAATGGTATCAGAAAAATATGGAAAAGTTGCAGAAAGTGATGGAAAATGTTTTAATTAACATAGATTTTTCTCAATAAACGCCATTTTCAAGTGAAAAAAGTATCAACCATCTAATATTTTTTCTTCAAGTCTTGCAATGAAAAAGCGTCTTTTTTGCGAATTTGTCAATAATTTATCAAAGTCAGCCTTCTAGTGTCAGTGTCTTCGTGTTCGACCCATTGTTCGTATAGTCATTTATATTCCAGAACAAAACTGAATTAATTACATGAAAAATGATGTTTATGAAAATCGATTGCTGTTGGTTTTTGCTTGCTGAACAGTTTTTCAAAATTGGAAAAAAATTCACTCATTTGCCAAATATCACTTCAAGTATCCATTTGTTTAGTTGATCATCCGCATGTACGTGTTGAATTTTCATAGCATTAGTTTTATAATTACTCTTGCAACCAAATATTTGCTTCAATGGATTTATTTAGATTCTTTGAAATAATATTTTCAGGGTGCAACTGAAAGGTATGTATGTGTATAGCGAGTTTTTGCATATATGCGTAAATAATAAATATACGTACATACAAATATATATATGCTATTTTTAAATTAGTTATTTGCCGATATTTTAAATCGATTTGTTTTCCACTTGACTGGCAAGTTAATTCATTCGGAGCTAGTGACATCTCGTGAGGTAGTTAGCGCTTAAAGTGATCGATACCAGTACATTTGGTGTTGTAGTCAAAAGTTGCAGAAGGTATGTAAAAATATCAGAATGCATGCAAAAATTGCATAGGGCAATTGATAGAATTATTGCTGATATGCATAGATTATCGTAATGTCACTAAATTCGAATTTCCATTGTTTACAACTAATTTGAGTATACTTTTTATGCTATGATAACGCACAACTATGCCAAACTTCTATTGTTATATTACGTAAACCTTTACAACAGACTAGAAGCAATTATATGTAATAAAAATGTAAAACAAATTAAACATCAAAATTTTACTTATTTCCAAATTCTTTTCCTCACTATGTACATGAATCTTTACGCAACCATAATAAAACTTCCATCTAGTTAGTGGATTTCTAATCCAAATTTAATGAAAAACGTCTCAAGTTAAAGACTTACGGCTTTAAAAAAGATTCTAGGGCAGGCTTTAGCGCAACCTTTGCCAATAAACCAATAAGATAGGCCTCTGAAAGTGCTTGATGGGCTTCGGAGATTTCTTCAAGAGGTGTCTTAAAGCAAGCGAGTACACAGAAACCGTGAATACGGAATGTTATTTAGATACCTATTGTAATCCTTTTATTATTACGTACTTACTTATTAGATCCGCGAATAAAGAAATTTATAGCTGCGAATATAGGAATTTTTTTAATCCGCGAATAGTGAAAACGCGAATGAAGGAAGCGCGAATAAGGAGCTTTTACTGTACAGTGTTTTCTCCTTGTTTTCTTCAAAATTGGTTCCTTCTTCAAATAAAAAAATCATCATAAACTATGTTATATGTAATCTGTCCAAATTAAGCTATCATAAGATAATTTTGGCGTTAGCTTGCAACTAACACGTGCTTGTAGGCAACCTATTAATTACCTCTCGTATAAATTTCCATAATTCCTATATCCACTTCTTCGGTCACTAATTTTTTACAATGCGTGTATAACGGCCATATAGTGTAAGATAGCCTGTGGCACTTTCGTTTTTGTCACAAATGTGCACACATACTTTGACAAATTGTAAATTTGTTAATAAAAAGAGTTTGTAAACGTTATGTATGTACAGTATGATTAATGTATTTGATGACGATGATGATGTTGCTGTCGTTATGAGTGTATATTTTTAATTACATTAACTCACATGGTTTGCGCATTTTAGCAACGATCCATAATATATGAGCTCCAAAAGAATTTAGCAGACGAACGTTTCCTTAGTAGACTCAAATGGAGAGGTGAGACTGTAAACATGCAGATACATGGGTACGAAGATACAGATATTATTATTATTCGAATCGAACAACACCAAAAGGCCCTTTCCATAAATAAAAAAGGCCAATGTATTGGTGGACAGAGACGTGAACTAGCGTTTACTTTGGCTATGAAGAAGAAATGTACGCAACTTAAAAAATTCATTATAGTCAAACAGATCTGCAATCTATAATCATTTCCGTTATAGCCAAAACTATGTGTTTTTCTAATAAAGAAAGTGGTGTAAGTTTTATTCATACTATCGAAATTTGAAATTCCTTAGCCTAGGGTGAACATAACTTTTTTAATTTTTTAAGAATACGCTACTACCACGGATTATTTTTTATACTATATGAAATTATTTCTCACATCCATTACAAATAAATACAAAGGTAAACAAAAATTTATTGAATGTACTGACTTATACTAAAACGCATTCCACAAATGGCTTCACCAATCGCAAAAGGAGGCTATCCTCTAGCTGCGCTTAACATGTACGGG